AGGATCAGGTTGTGGTGCGGCTGGTAACTGGGGTTGTAGGGTGGGAGGTCGTACAGGATCGTCCGTTGTCGTAGGTGGCGGTGCTGCTGGTAACTGTGGTCGAAAAGTGAACTGCGTAGTCGGCGGATGTGTCTCTGGATTTAGCAGTGTTGCAGACGTTGAGACGAAGCCTGGAGCAGAGCAGAGAGCTGAGTGAGGCCGGAGTCGTGGAGCTCTATGTGGGAGAGCGTGGCGGCTCGATTGAGAATTGTGAGTGTCTAAACTCGGGGAGCGAGAGCGTGGCGGCTCGATTGAGAATTGTGAGTGTCTAAACTCGGGGAGCGAGAGCGTGGCGGCTCGATGCGGTCGTAGTCTGCTGTCTGCTCTGTGTCGAAGCTGTAGCGTCTTGGGTTGATTAGGACTGTACACGCCGAGTACTACATTGTTGACTGTGGAAATTGTAGTCTGGTACTAAAAGATGTAGGCAGTGTGTGGACAAGCTCGGTGTAGCAGGAGAGAAGAATGTGCATAATTGTTGCGTCCTTGGGTCGCTGGTGGAGCATTTAGATCCGGGGCGGATGGGCTCGGGCACCAGGACATTAGGAGGTAATGTAGGCACGTAGTTAGGACAACGAGGGAATCACTGCTAGAGCTGAATTGTCCTGGAGGCGACGAAGAGTCGGAAACGCAAGCTGTAAGTCCTGTACTGCGCAAAGGGCTTGAGTCGGCAGAGTATCAAAATGCAGTGAACGTGTAGATGAATCTGACGAAAGAGCAGCTTTCGTGGGCGCCCCTGTAGAACAAGCAGTGCCCTGGCAGCGACGGAGAGTCGGCAGGACAGGCTGTAGATCCCACATTATGTAGTTACTGATGAAGCTGCCAGATGAGTGAGTAGTGATCGTGGAGCAGCAAGCCGTAGTAGATGAAAAGGCAGAGACGATCGCGGTGAAAATCATAGCTGTGGCGAGCGTGTTGGCAGCGTTCCGTGACAGGTGGCAGCGGTCCACAGCAAGCAGCAGCAGTAGAGGTCCAGTGAGAGTCCATGTTGTAGTCCATCGTGGCTGGGTATCGTCGAAACTCTCTGGGGTCACCAATGTAACGGTTCTATTGTTACGTAAAGTATGGTGACAAATAAACACAGACACTAAGATACTATATATATATTTGGTCGAATATACAGAAGTACACAGGTGATACGTTGGTGTGAGTTGAGCGCACTGAGCGTTGGTACAGTATCTCGCAAGTGTCTGCTCTAGACCACACTTGAAAGTAGACTAGCCAATGTTCGCTACACCGCTGCTTATATTGCTCGGGCAACACCTCACCGTGCTGCCCGGGCAACGCCTCACCTCATTCATCTCCAAAGGTTGACAGGAATATTAACACTATATTTGGAGCGAGTATATTATTGGGATAATCTACTCGCTACAAGAGTTTCTCATGAGTAGGCTGGCCGTTTTTCTGGTTTTATAGTAAATCGTCAGTTGTATCCTCTGATTTTTGTCTGTAGGGATAACGTTTCTATTAACAATATCTTTCAGGACCCTTTCCTCCGTTTTATGAGCTGTGGAAAAGAAGTTCCTGTAAAATAGTCTAATAGGGGGTATAGGTGTTGTGTTTAGTTGAAGTTGTTGGATGGGAAGCTGCCTTTTCTAGATGTAACAGTCATGGAAAAGGGCGGAGGTTTCCACACTGCAGTCTACACTAAGGAAACAAACATAGGAATGTGCCTAAATGCCAACAGCGACTGCCCTGACAGGTACAAGAGGAGTGTTGTTAACGCATACGTCGACCGTGCTCTCAGCCACAGTTCAGAATGGAAGCAAGTCGACGAAGAACTCTGTAGGGTAAGGCAGGTCCTAGTCAATAACGGCTTCTCCAATGGTTTCATCGAAGACATCATAAGAAGGAAAGTGAAAAGCCATGCAACCTCTGAAGAGACAACTAACACAACACCTATACCCCCTATTAGACTATTTTACAGGAACTTCTTTTCCACAGCTCATAAAACGGAGGAAAGGGTCCTGAAAGATATTGTTAATAGAAACGTTATCCCTACAGACAAAAATCAGAGGATACAACTGACGATTTACTATAAAACCAGAAAAACGGCCAGCCTACTCATGAGAAACTCTCCAGACACAAAACAGAACGCTTTAAAAGAGACTAATGTCGTCTATGCCTTCAAATGCCCACTTGGGGACTGTAAGCTCCAAAAAACCCAGTATATAGGCAAGACAACAACATCTCTTTCTAGGCGTTTAACGATGCATAAGCAACAGGGCTCCATTAAGGAACATATAATCTCTTCCCATAACCAAACCATCGCCAGAGAAATCCTAGTAAACAACACAGAAATCATCGATAGATACAGCGATAGCAGGCGGCTTGACGTTTGCGAGGCACTACACATCAAGAAGTCAACACCAGCAATCAACAGCCAATTATTGCACAACTATATTCTACCCACCTCAAGACTCCGCTCCAATATAGAAGCATCAAGAAATATGGACCAATAGGCTTTCTACAAACACTTCTATTCAATACCCATTGTTTCTGTTCTGTCTTGTGTTGATACTTTTAATACCCTATTAATATCCCCTCTTGTTCTGTCTTGTGTTAATGCAACATCACCCCTCCCACCTCACTCAAATGTAGATATAAAATCAGAGATACGTTCTAATCAGTTGTGTATTTGTGAAGTCTTTGAAAATGTAATAAGTTTTACGAAACGCGCCCGTGTCGCGTCAGACTAGAAATAAAAATGAATTTTGGAGAAGTGATTTTTGATTTACCTCCAACAGTGAAGCGTAATGTACGAAAGATTGAGAAAATTCGTGTTAGAATTATTAATCTTACTTTTTCGGTCATATTTAATAATATATGTCTACAGGAAAGACTGCTACCAATATATATATATATATATATATATATATATATATATATATATATATATATATATATATATATATATATATATATATATATATATATATATATATATATATATATATATATATATATATATATATATATATATATATATATATATATATATATATATATATATATATATATATATATATATTGGTGTATACTGGCAGCAGGTTTTCTTTCAAACATGTTTCATTGAATATGACCGCATATTCTGTATTTTTTTTTGTTTGAGATATATACAGGAGTTGTTACATTCTTGTACAGCCACTAGTACGCGTAGCGTTTCGGGCAGGTCCCTGGAATACGATCCCCTGCCGCGAAGAATCGTTTTTTCATCCAAGTACACATTTTACTGTTGCGATAAACAGAGGCTACAGTTAAGGAATTGCGCCCAGTAAATCCTCCCCGGCCAGGATACGAACCCATGACATAGCGCTCGCGGAACGCCAGGCGAGTGTCTTACCACTACACCACGGAGACTAAACTGTACTATTATGTGCTATTTGGGCAAACAATGGGCAGAGTACTATTATATACTATTATGAGACTGTACTATTTATTATTTTCTGGTTTAGGGCTGCTATCCCTCTAACTATTTTCTTAGCATCAGGGCTTAGTTGAAATAGGAGTTCTCCAAAACTCATTTTCGTACTTTTAAGGTGAAGAAAAGAAGTGATTTACTATAGAGTGTATTACACTTATTTATACAATTTGCACAACGTTTCGAACCTCCATGGTTCATTCTCAAGTGTTTCTAAATGTGTTTCAAACTCACACTGTATCTTGTCCTACCCACTCCGTCAACTCAAATTTTGCTACAATGCACCTCTTAACAAATGTTATGTACTCTCACAATCCAATGTACCTTCGTGTATATAAATAAATAGATTTCAACTGTAAGGGGGTATGGTTTGCACCTTGTTATTCTAATAATGGATGTCTTCTCTGATAAGAGTTCAATCCCCGACAGTCCAAATGGTTGGGCACCATTCCTTCCCTCCCCCCCCGTGCCATCACAAATCCTTAACCTGACTCCATCCAAATGCTATATAGTCTTTATAGCTTGGCGCTTTCCTTCCCTGAGAGTTCTCTTCCCTTCCCTTCTCTGATACGAGAGCGCTTTGTTAACAAACAAAGTAATACAAACAGTGCGCTAAGCATTGTTAATGGAAGCGCTAATTATATGATGAAGTTAGTTAGTTAGCAGCGCCGGTCCCCAAGTGTCCCGCTGTCCGCAGCTAATACTTTGCCCAGTCTAGGTGCTAGTAAGCCCTACTTGTAGTCACACCCCCTTCTCCTTATCCATTAGGTCTTTTACGGCCTCTTGGCCGGGTACATTACGTGTTATGTGGTCTCTCACTTATTAGTTATTCTTTGTGTCCTAGCTGCCTGTTATATCCTAGTGTTATATAATTACTACACATTTGCACTCGGCCTTAATTCTAGTACCAGTTAACCTTTAGGTTTCTGCAGAATTAGTTTCCATGTCACTATAGGCTAAGGTCTCATACTTACTACGGGTGTACCTTTTAAGTTAAATCTAGTCCTTGGAATTGTTACTGTTAATTCTTACTTTATATATTTACTTTATATATTTTAATATAAACGTTATATATTCCTTAAATTATATTTGAAACTTTGTATATTTACATGTTCAATATTAAGTTTTATATAATATCAACTTTGTTAAGTCTATAATATAAACCGTGTTTAATATAAACTTTATATAATTACTTACTTTATGTGAACTTTATATATTTACATGTTCTGCAGAATTTAATCTTCAATAAACTGTAACGCCCCATACTGCCAGTATCTTTCTCCCCCTGGTCAGAAAAGTTAGTTAGTTAGTTTAGTTCATTTATTATGCACCCCATACCCATCTTGTGGGCGGTAGTGGAAAGGGTTACAGAGGCACATAATGGGCTCAGGGACTGAACCCCACAATTCATATTGAATTTTGTAACTAGCTCATCAAGATTGTAACTTGCTTAGGTAAATATGATTAAGTGTCATGTATTTATTCAGACGAGAACAGCAGCGAACACAAACCAGCGCATATACGAACAAAATGGTTTGTATGTACAAATTTCTCAGTGAACGAAATTGTTTCTAACCCGGTATCCGAGATTACAGTAGACGACTTGAGAGTGTCTTGTATCCTGCCAGCTGGTGACGTGTGGCCGCGTGTCCTCCTCACACTACACTCCTCCTCTCACCATGGCCAATGAAAACAATGAGAAGTAAGTTACTAGTTGACTGCTGTCAGCCGTTAACATTATTATTAAGTAAAGTAGTCATCGTTGACTCACACTCGGGGATCCCGGGAATGTGCCCCGGGGGATAGAAATGGTTGGGCACTTTTCCTCTCACCTCGTGCCTCTGTTCACCAAGCAATGAAATGTATTTGAGAGATGTTGTGGGGTTGTATTCCTGGGAGGGTCAGTAGTGTTACCTTGGTGTGGGGGGGGGGGGGGAGTCCCTGCCTAATGTATTTATGGAACCGCCTACCCGCCGAAGCCGTAACTGCCAAAAACTTAACTTTTAAAGCACAGCTGGAAAAGAACTGCAAGGCAAATGGGGGGACCATCGACAAGCCGCCGGCTTGTTGTCCTCGTCGAGGCCACTAGTGTTAGTGGCTCTCAGGTAAACTGATATTTATTTATTTATATACAAGAAGGTACATTGGGTTTATGAGAGTACAGAGCATTATAGTCTTACATTCTTCTAAAGCCATTAGCACGCACAGCGTTTCTGGCAGATCCTTAATCTAACATATAAGTTTAAGGAGGTAATTTCTAGCAAAAAAAAAAAAAAAATGTTTACAGGTACATTGCAAGAAAGTATAAAAATGCATTGTATTAAAGTAATGTATAAAAAAATACATTGTATAAGAAAGTTGATAGAAAAAAATGTAGGTACATTAAAGTAAATTTAAGGGTTATCCACACGTACATTGTAGCTTAATTTGAGGATATATATCTGAGGGGTATATATATCTGCCAGAAACGCTATGCGTGTTAGTGGCTTTGTATGAATGTAAGAACACTAATGTTATATACTCACAAACCCAATGTGCATTCTTGTATGTAAATAAATAAATGTACATAGGCTTCCTGTCCCCGACTAAACGAATTACCGTACAGCCTAAGTTGCGGTCAAGAGCCTAGTCAGGGGTTCTTAACCAAGGGTATCCATAGCCCTTTGGTGTGAGAGAGGCGAATGAAACCCGATCTCTGAATAATTACCTGCCCGAAACGCTGCGCGTACTAGTGGCTTTACAAGATTGTAAATACTATGCTATGTATTCTCACAAACCCAATGTACCTTTTTGTATATAAATAAATAAATAAATTATAAAAGTTAGAATTAACTATTATTAGTAACTGCCTCGATTCCATGTTTTGATTGCACAAAATTAGCAAAAGCCTCATTAGTTGTAGGCAGCTTATTTATTTGTAATTTGCCATTTTTCTATAAATAAAAATTATATAATCCTTATGATTTTCTTTCAGCTGTTATGTTCCTAATCCATATGTAAAGTAAACCCAAGCTATTTGCATCATCCAAGGTCATACTGGTCCCCAATAGGACTACTTTGGTGATTTCTAACATTAGTGGAGGGGGTGTGGATACTTACTGGGTCATCCACTGGGGGTCTGTAATCATAAAAAAGGCAAGAACCCTTGGTCCACGCAATCTGCTGTCATGATTTATAGTGCCAGTGTTAAAACTTGACTGTTGTGCCAGAATATTACTTGGATATAAGGATATGTGATAGGTTGTACAGTACAGTATTAGCTTAGGCTGTGTTAGGCTCAGATAGGCTAGGTTAGAATGTATTAGCTTAGGTTCTGCTGTGTTAAGCTTGGCTGGATTAGATTAGATAGGTTTTAAATTTTACTTGTGTATGATGTGACTTATATTCTATTGTATAACAGACGGTTGTTGATTTTTTGCATGAATTTTTAAAACATACCTTTAACCCAATCTAACCTAATGTTGTGGTTTAGGGGAAGCATCAGCACAGAGTAGTATTTACCTGAGGGTCACTAACACTAGTGGTCTCGACAAGAACATGAAGCCGGTGGCTTATCAAAGTCCACCCCCCCCCTTCAGCAGGTTGGCAGTTCTATGGATTTATAACAGTATGTGTGAAAAGCATCTCCTGTTCTCAGTCCTACATTGAGGTTTGTTGAGCTTGAAACCATTATTCCTTGATTGTGTAACATCTGAGCTTTTGAAGAAATTGTCCGGACCAACATCCTCCAAATTGTTCAGTATTTTAAGTTTCAATGAGATTTTCCCTGTCATGCCTGGTTTGCATTGTTAGGCATGTGGCCCTCAACCGTTCCTGATACGAGAGATGACTTAGCTCTGAAATGACTTTAGTTGCCCGGTGTTGCACTCTCTCCATAGCAGCTATGCCCTTCTGTACAAAATATAAGTAGTAGTATGTATAAAATGTATTTTCAAGTTAATATTTTTGGGGATTTGAAATGGGTTAATTAAATTTACATTATTTCTTGTAGGAAAATTTGTTTCAGTTTTTGAAATTTCAGTTTTCAAACCATGTCTGGGAATGGATTAAATTTGAAAATGGAGGTACCACTGTGCAGGGTATATCTAATAATCATTGATGTTCGTCGTGGATTTATACATTATCCAGAGGTTCCGCTTGGTTATTAATGCTCATTTGACAACCCGTGTCATCCATCTTGTTCCTTTCTTTTCTTTCTCCTTTTTGGCACATATTTTTGAATGAGTTTCGTGATGACCCTCTTGAAATTTTGCCATGATGCTTCCATGCTATGTTCACCTATCAGCGACCCCCCAGGAGATGTTTTGCAGTTCTTCTCTCATTTTTTTTTTTTTTTTTTTTTTTTTTTTTTTTTGAGATATATACAAGAGTTGTTACATTCTTGTACAGCCACTAGTACGCGTAGCGTTTCGGGCAAGTCCTTAATCCTATGGTCCCTGGAATACGATCCCCTGCCGCGAAGAATCGTTTTTTCATCCAAGTACACATTTTACTGTTGCGTTAAACAGAGGCTACAGTTAAGGAATTGCGCCCAGTAAATCCTCCCCGGCCAGGATACGAACCCATGACATAGCGCTCGCGGAACGCCAGGCGAGTGTCTTACCACTACACCACGAGGACTGCTTGATATTCCTTGATAGTCTCCTCAATGGTAATCTAGAAATTCATTATCATTTACCTTTATTTGGTTTGTGTTCATAATCCACATTAAAATATGGTGATCACACGTTTACCGTCATTTTTGTTACGAAAACTACAAAACTGGTGCCAGATCTCCCTCTTTGCCCAAAAAGCTAGCTCGAAGATGTGAAAATGTAACAAAAATCTATTACTTTTGTAATATCTCCAGTGATATATGATATGGGCTGTGATTGAGGAATGCTTTACAGCTGTATCGAGACCCAAAGGACAAAATTTGCAGTGTTTACTGCTCACCCCAGGCAAAGTAGGAGTCATTTTTTTTGTATAGTGTAGTATTGTATTTGTAGGTTGAACCAAGAGTTTTAACCCATTCTAACATTCAAATGCAAATTTATACATTATAATGGTGACAAATAATGAAAAAAGATAATGGTTTATAACTTCAATACATCTGTGTTGTCATGTACCAAGCAGTTGTTTATATTTTCTGAGATTATGCACTGTCATGTGCGAGAAAGGAAGTAATAAACCAGATGACTGCACACCATGAGATCAGAAGTATGGCAAGAGCCACATATTTTCTTCCTATCCAGGAGGATAGGAAGATATGAGAAAGACAAGAACTGCCCCTTAAGGGTGAGATTTAATAGGGTGAAACACATGATAGAAGTGCTTAGAAATGGCAGGAAATTGCAGTGTGATGAGGATGGCAAACTTTTGTCACTAAGACAAGACCGCTCATAGGAAGACAGAGAAAAGCTGAAAATGAACCTCATTGAAGGAAAATGTTTAAATGGGAGTAGAAATGATAGAATTTTTTTTCTACAAAGTGTTAGGGACTGGAAAGCTAGTGAAATGGTACATAAAAACAAAGTAACAAAATCATTAGAGGAAACGGGAGTGGAGGACAAAAGGAAAGTGAACCTGTTCCTGAAAATTGTATATACCATCATAGATGGAGTGACATAAAAAATATTAGATCTGAAAGATATAATTCAGCTTAAGGTTTCCGATATTGTCGCACTGACAGAGACGAAACTTGAAGAAAATATTTTAAATGAGGTCATATTCCCAAGTGGCTACTCAGTATGGAGACGTGACAGGAAAACTAGAAAGGTGGAAAGAACACCTGAAGGAAGTTAATAATTGAAAACCCTCGAAATGTTGGCATGATGGCATTGCAGGTCTGGAATCGGGATGATAAACTGATAATTGTAAATGCCGACAGCCCACCAGTAAGCAACACATGGACAAAGGAGGAACTAGATGATAAACGATCGGGCCTGATAATGGTCACGAGAGATTATAGTGAAAGCATATACTGTAAAGATAAATCACGATTGTTGTTACTAGAGGACTTCGACTTTAAAGCAAGAATGGAGGACATTTGGACAGGCAGATTTGTAAACCTCATTTTGGAGGCATTCATGTATCAACATGTCAAGTAGGCCACAAGAATGAGGGAAGAGATGTTCTGTCAATACTGGATCTAATATTCACCAGGACAGAAGAAAAGATATTTGACATCCAGTACCTTCCTCCCTTGGGAAAGAGTGATCATGTCCTGTTGGACATTAAATATGCTTTGTGATATAATCTAGAAGAGAATGGGGACATTAAAACAGTTGATAAACTAGATTTCAAGAGAGCATTATGGGGACTTTAGAATTTTTTAACAAGTTTAATTGGACTGACTCGTTACTAGGCAAGGAAGTAAATGAGATGTATGCAAATTTGCAAACTATACGATGAAGTCACACAAATATTCATACCAAAACAGAGATGCAGGACCAGAAAACAGGATTGGTTCAACAGAAATTGTGAGAGGGCTAAAGAGGAAAAAGACAAGAAAATGTGATCAATATCGGAAGGTGCCTAACCCGCTTACATACTAGCACTACAAGTAAGCAAGAAACAATTACACAGCAGTGAGGAGAGAGGCAAAAAGGAATGTTGAGAAAGGTATAGTGGACAAATGTAAAACAGATCCAGGCCTTTTCTATAAATTCATTAAAAGCAAGCTGCATGTAAAGGACAAAATCCAGAGATTGAGAATGGGGAATAGGACTACTGAGAATAAAAAAGAAATGTGTGAAATGCTAAATGAACAGTTCCAAAGTGTGTTTGTACAAAATGAGAATTTCAAAGAGTCGGACCAAATACCAATTCCAGAGCACGCCATGGAATACATAGAGGTATCTCAAGACGAAGTGGAAAAAATTACTCATGTGGCTAGAAAGAAATAAAGCAGTTAGACCTGATGGAGTTTCACCTTGGGTGCTGCGAGAATGTGCAGCTGTGCTGAGCATTCCACTCCAATTAACACTATTGCGCTCCCACAGAAGGCTCTTTAACTTTCCCCTTGTGCGCCAAGCATTTCGGGCGACCGCTCGGCGACACTGAAATGTTTATACTCTTTTCGGTCTGCTGACTTTAATTTTCCATGTATGTATTTAATTTTGTGTAATTGATGTGTGATTGCCAGATTGTAAATTTTCTTTTTGATTTTTGCTTTTACCTTCAGCTCCGAGGATGGACCAAGCAAGAAAGCCCTGAAGAAGGCACAGAAAGCTGCTGAGAAAGCAGCAAAGAAAGCTGAATATAAAGCTCAAAATGTCACACAGAGTGTAAGTTCAATTGTTTTGATTATTAAATGTCTTGTGCTTAAATTCTGTACTGTACTGTGTATAGTATTTGTTTCTGAACTCATTTGTGAGAGATACCATATTACTGTATAGTATTATATATACCATTTACCTATGTGGATTTAATACATTTACTGAGATACTAATAATCCATCTGCTTCTCTTCACATTTTCCATTTTGATTTAGCTAATTGAAATAGTGTAATTATTATTTTACACATACCAGCACCTGGTGCAGCTTGCAATCGAAAGCCGATTAGTTTTTATCTTTCTGAACAATAAAATTCAGAAATAGCAAATGTAAATAAAGAGAGGTCATGGAAATAGTTTTATAAAGCACCTGATGTATTAAATTGTATGTAAGGCATTCAAAACTTGTCTTTGTTTGTAGGACTGTAATAATTAATGACATCAGCCTTACAGCATGAGGTGGGTAGGGGTGAATAGGCACCGTTGACGGAATCAAATGTCTAATTTGATGTCAGGAACTTGTCTAATTGTTTCTCGAACACATCCACTTTTGTTCCAACAATATTTCTTATAATTGTTGTAAGGATATTGAATAGCCATGAACTTTTGATGTTCAGTGTGCTCTTTGATTGTGCCTATGACATCTCTACTCCACTGGGTCTATTCTGTATCTTTCACTCCTAATTACCTAAGTGTTTTTTCCCCTGTATGTTTTGCTGTGCACATTTGGGACCTGGCCTACCAATATCTTCCATGTATATTTTATGTGATACCCCTCTCGTCTCCTTTTTAGAGAGTACATTTTGAGTGCTTCGTTTCTCAATAATTTAGGTGCTTTACCATGTCCATGCTATATAAGCTTTGAATTCCTTCTACTTCAGCAATCTCTCCTGCTTTGGAAGGGAAAGTGAGTACTGAGCAATACTCAAGACAGAAAAGCACAAGTGATTTGAAAAGTAAGAACATTGTTATGGAATCCCTGGATTTGAAGGTTCTCATATTCTATCCTATTATTTTCCTGTCTGATGCTGTTTGGTTTGTTATACTCATTGAATGTCATTATCTTTCTATGAGGAGATCTAATTGTGTCCTGTGTATTATATTTTTGTTAAGTTCTTAATTGTTACCATACCTAGGTGCAGTATCTGGAATATGTCACTGTTCAAAATTGTATTTTTGTTGGCCAGTCGAAGACTTTATTGATACTGTATTGGCTTATAGTTTCTTAATATCTGCTACTGAAATAATTTTGTGCTTTCATATACAGTAGTTGCAAAGGATGACATGAAACTTACGTATTTTTCTCTTTTGATCTGTATCTGATATGAGAAAGAGAAAATAATGGTGCAAGAACCATGTCTTGAGCTAGAGACTTAAGACTGTGCTCAGACTTAATTTTATTTGACTATTTCTCTTTGTATTCTTTCTGACAAAATTCATATCCATCGCCAATACTTAACCTGTTATTCCTTTGAACCTAATTTTATGGGCTACCCCACTATGGTCACTTTTATCAAGTAGTTTCAAAATCTACATTTAGTTTTCCTTTTAATGCTTCTGTGATTTTGTCATAGTTGTTGAGTAATTGTGAAAGGCAGGCTCTCCCTGCTCTAAATCCATGATGTGAAGATCATTGTTCTCCATAAAACTGGAGATTTGGCTCCTTATCATTTTCAAAAACTTAGTGTGAGATGGTAGTGCAACCAGTTTGTTATTTATAGCCAACACTTTACTACCTCTCTTGCAGAGTGGAGCTATGCCACCTGTATCTCACTAGTGTCCAGGCTTTTTCTCCATACTGCACCGAGTGCTTATACTACTGTTACTTGGCATTTTTTGTTTATAAATATAGAGTTGCTGGAGTTGGGACCTGGGCCTTCATGCATAGGCATGTTGTCAATTTCTCTTTCAAAGTCTGAACTGCTTGTGTAATGTTTACAAAGAGAAAACTGATGAGTTGCATCCTAAAAGGCTGCAAACGGAGCAGTTCGCAGTGCGGTATTGGAAACATAGGGATTGCTACCTCATGCTGAAAATAAATGGCAGGCATGCCAGAGGCAAGAGAAAACATTGCCTGTCACATGCCTAATGCCATTAAACAATGCACTATGAAATGCACACTAAGCCATGGGATGTGAAAATAACAAGTGTATTCATTTTAGTAGTATACCCCCGTTGAAAAGCAGAGGTGCAACAGGTACTCTGAGAGAGAACTCTATCAACATCAGAGGCCTGAGGCTGTTCAACACGCTTCCACTACACATGAGAGGCATAACTGGCCGACCCCTCACAGCATTCAAGAGAGAACTCGATAAGCACCTCCAAAGGATATCTGATCAACCAGGCTGTGATTCATACATCAGGCTGCGAGCAGCCTGGTTGACCAGTGCAGCAACGAGGAGGCCTGGTTGACGACCGGGCCATGGGGACGCTAAGCCCCGGAAACACTTCAAGGTTCAAGGTTCACTTAACACTACTCTAAGCCACATCTGAAAACAAATGTGAGAACACAAAGTGACTTGCATATACGCAATTGTGAAGCATAAAGGACATTGCATGGGAGAGGATGTTCCAGGAAATGCCCTAGAATATTTAGCTTTTCATAAAAAGCATAAATCAAATTCAGCTGAGGAATTGTATTAGTTACCAATGAATCTGGCTCAAATTGAGTGTCTCACTGACTAATGATCATGGGAGGTTGGCACGAGGTTGTTACCTCTAACTATCAGTTTATTTTTTTAGTATGAAGTTTCTCTAGGCTCTATGAGCATTGGATGCTTTTGGTGATATATATGTGTGGTTCACTTTGGTGTAGGTATTTTATTGTTACACTTCCGTCACCTCGATGAGAATGAATCGTCATCTTTAGTGAGGGGAAGTCAGTATGGGGAGGCCAGCACAGAAATATGAAATATCTGTATTTTGTTAGCAGAGTTGGGCTGGCATATCCTTTCAAGCATGATCCCACCAATAATAAACATGAAACTAAAATTTTGAATTTAATTTTCTACTAAGTAAAAAATGTTCTTGAGGGTGTTGGAGCCAAATTGTTACCAGTAAGTGCTTCTTTAGAGAACTGGGCAGGATTTTTAAGCAACATTTACACAGTGATATATATGCAGTATAGTTAATATTCTTTAAAGTAGATATTTCTATTTTAATATTTTAAATTATTACACACATTTGGAAGGTAACTTAAAATGCTTTATGCTTCTGGGTGTTACCACAAGAATGTATGATTAGAATTTGAATACACATACTAAAATGATTACAGTATTATATAGATTTGGAAATGTTCTGTTATTTTCTTTGGCTCATGCTATTTGTTACTACCACTTGACAGTATGCAGTATTAATTTATCATTTGCATCAATACCTTTGTTTCATGATGAATGGCTTTGGCTAATAATTAGTGTTTTACAGGATACCATCCAAGATGGGGCAGAAGTTGACTGTTCACTGGGTCTGTATGGAAATCTGACTATGAATAGGAGTCAAGAGAAATTACCAGTTAAACATACAGAGCTAAAGGATCTTGATACAAATTTAGCCAATCAAAATGTCACGCTTCGAGCTCGACTTCATACGAGTCGGGGGAAAGGTAAAATGCAAGAAGAGATTGTTCCAATTTAATAATCAATTGCAAGTATTGTGAATTTAAGATTAATGTGGAACTTAATGCCTGTGCAACCAGTAGCTCTCTGCTATTATTTTTGTTTTAATTCCGTATTTTATACTTTGTTTTATTATGTTTTTCTGTTTTCTTCCTTTTTCTCCTTATTAAAATTACAGTAAGTGTACCAGGACATTTGTCACCCTTTCCTGATATTCTTTCCACGGCCAAAAACAGTGGCATCAAATATCTAGGTGGAGGCACACTTCTTGGTGAGCAATAGGAATAAAGCTGAAAGTTGAGCTAGGTTTAACTGAGTTAATTGGCTTGTCAGCTCTGACTAGAGTAAGTTGATTTGGAGGATCAGTATCCTTATTAGTCTGAGATGATGTACAGTCTCCAGTAGCTACCTGTGTACTCTTTTTTGACCCCTGATGTGGCTGTACTGTATGTCCATTTGTTGGGCTACATGGGCATGTAAGTAAGAAAAGTTCAATTTGCACACCTTTCAAGTTTAGCAATTCTTAAGCATTTTTACCTAAATATACATACCATCTCGATGTATTGCACTCTACAACTCCACATTTCGATTTTGTATCCCTGAAAGTTAAATTTATGGGTGAACTCTGCAATTCTGGTGAATTGCAGAGCCCTCTACTCCAATTTAAATCCTCCTGTTGGTTGTTCTTGCCTTCAGCAAATTTGTGGTTTGCTAGAATAGACTGGGTATAACCCCACCCTGAAAGTTTTCTTCATCTGTAGGGAGGAAGATGTGTTAGCTAACCTCAGCCCTTTTTGTTAGAAAGCAGATTAACAGAATTTGGTTATGTGAGGAAGTTGAGAGATGGAGCAGCAACGGTGTGTGTGGCAGTGGTGAGTGTAGTAAAGTGGTAATAGAAGACAGATACTGTACTGTACTTTCATTTCAGTACTCTACCATCCAGTCTCTCATTCCTCCTCTCTTCGTAATATATGCTTCATTCTAGAAATCCTTGCTATCCACACTTTCCATGCCATTGTTAATATTACACTATTTCAGGTTTTTGGCTGGAGGTCTTGTAATATACTTCTGAAGACATTAGTGTAGAGGAATTATAATGGGGAGGCACATGTGTCCACCATTGTCCCACTCTGTGTGTGGCTACTTACTTGCTTAACAACCATTGCCTATTTGATTTCAGTTCCTTTGCTTCTACTTTACCTCATCATATGCTCTTTCCATATTTATTTCTTTTTAACCTTCCCTTGCTTGAGCATTTCCATTTAAACAGGTACTTATTAACGTTAATCCTTAGACTACTACATTAAATTACACTTTAAAGTACAATGCCATAATTAGTTAAATGGGATTGTCTTTCCATATATGCTTCCTTAGGGGTTATTATAACTTCAGACATCTGTTCTTTTTCTTGGTTTCAAGAATTAATAATTAGAAGTGATATTATTTATTGCCACAACCTCACTCTATGAACACAGTTTGTAGTGTGTATACCAACCATAAGATGCTTAAAAACATTGTTGAACCCCAAGGGTTATATTGGAAGTATAATTTAAAATGCTATATAATGAATTGTATTTTTCTTTACAGGAAAGCAAGCATTTTTTGTGTTGAGAAGCAGAGAGCATACTGTTCAGTGTTTGATAGCTGTTGGTGAAATGGTATCCAAACAAATGATCAAATTTGTTTGCAATATTGCCAAGGAAAGCATTATTGACGTGGAAGGCAAGGTAGGCACTAGAGAATATATTGTTCCTTACATATTTAACCTTCTATTCTGGTGTTTATTTTTGGGCTACTTCCATAGACTGCATTTTTTTGTTTTTGAATGTTTAGAGCCTATGAAATTTTTAGAAAAAAAGTAGTATGGAAAATAAGCATAACATACTAGGTGCTATAGCTTGGTTGTGTTCGACTCTGAAAAGAGGATTTATACCCACACTACCAGCTAACAAAATTTCTCGGCATCCTCAAATATCTTATAAAATTTAAAAAAAAATAAAAGCAATTATGCAGCCCCTCCTCCTGTTTTGTTAGTATAGTACTTATAGTGACAATAAGGATCATAGTACATATACTGATGTTCAACACAATAAGAAAGTAGGAATCGGACATAATGAATGTGGACAGACAACATTTTTTTCTATTTGTTGCAAAGACAGACTAAACTAACCTAACCTAACCTTCCTAGGCCTAATACACACTGAGGCCTAATATAGTACTGTACATGTGTGTGTGGCCTAAGAATATTTAAGCTGTGTTTTGGCTTCATTTTTTCAGACTATAAAGTGAATAGTACAAAATTCTACTATCTAATTCCTTAGTATGTCAGTGTTTCTACTATGGTGCACATAGTTACAAAAAGTACTATGTAAACAAGAGGATGGGATAGATTATGGTACGGTGCTGCACCAATGACTTGCCATAATGTAGGTGTGGGAGGATGACTCGCACTTCCCGCTTTCCATCTAACAAAATAATTAGATTCTAAACAAATTTGGAGGTTATGGATTATGGCATATGACCAATGGTCATATGCCAAATCCAATATTTGCAGATGCACAGTTGCAATGTGTGCTGATATTCACAGATGTGGTCAACATACCACGGAAACCCCAAAAATGCTCAAGAGTGCTGTCTGCATTGGAAGAGTTAAAGATGAACTATCTTGATATGATATTTATTTTTGCATTCACAGCACAATGGTATATTTAACTTTATTATTAAGTTTCTGATGCAGTGTGTCCATATATATTCACTAGTTATGTTAAAACTGACGAGATTAGATTATCAGAAGTAATTTACTGTATCTACTTTTGGTAAGTACTCTGTATTTTACCGTTTTTTTGGAGGGAGCCCCTTCAGCTCCCCGGAGCAATCCAAGCTGATATGTATATTATTAGACTTAGGAATCAGTCGGTGTGAATGGAGTTCTAGGCCTACTGGGGACCACGAGCCAGAACCTGGGCCCCCCCCCTTCCCCTCAGAGAGCCACGAGGAGCAAGGCCTATAGAAGTGTACACGTGTTTGGAGCATTCTATGTCTGCCATCAACCGGGCCAGGCACCCAGAAAAGTAAGCGCCTCAAAACAAACACCTGTTCTGGTTAAAACTACTACTGAAAGCTAACGAGTGGACAGAACTCCTCAAATGAAAAACGAGCAAACGAGCATGACGTCACACTTGTCGCGCTGCGTGTCTGCGCAGCACCCCCCTCCCTGGGAGGGGGAAAGGGGAGCCCCAGACCCCATCCCTCTGGCTATCCACCTGCAGTTCTCGGCTGATGTGATTGTGGCTCGGTCGTGTGGCTCCAGCTCCTGATTCTCTGTGTTGTGCTGTGCCTTGTGTCCAGTACTACTCTTACGGTAGGTGCGAGCTGGGCGTAATATTCACAGGGACTCGGGCTGCATGTGCTTAGGGTTCCCTTCCCTGAGTGCCTTGTAAGTACCACCCTTGGGGCTTTTGGTTATCTTCCCTAAGTCACCTTGAGGTCTACCTCTGTTGGTCTCTTGCTGCTTGGTGATTGACCGCCCTGGGAGTGTTGGGGGTTTCCTCCTCCCTTGTTTACCTTGGGGCAAGTGGTAGTTTTGCACTGTTAGGGGCATGGGGTACTGTGCAGCTAGTTTTCACCTATTACAGCAGCCGGCTCTGTTCCTCCTGGGTACGTTGTCCTCTTGTGGGGTTTTTCTTTTAATTTTTGTTTCTGCCTGGTGGAGTTGGGGTCTGCTCGTTCTTCTACCCCCAGTTATAGTAGGGTCTTGATCTCCTGTGTTCGGTGGTACCCCCTGCTTGGCCTCCCCCCCGTGAGTGGACACGTCCCGGGGGATTCAGTTTTAGAAGTTTGTTTGATAGCCTTGGGTGCCAGTTAGCAGTACCCCGTCTGGGCTTAACCTTAGTGATAACAGTCTAAAGGTCCTGGGAAACCTAAGGGGTCTAATGGATGCGACCCCTGGGTTCCCTCTCATCTTGTGTGAGTTTGAGGGTTGTCCCCTTGTCTCAGGGCGACACTCATTTTTTTTCCCTCCGTCGTGCTGCCTTTTGGGTTGGTGACACCTTCGACCTGGAGTCCTGCGAGCATTGTTGCTTGTGTCTCCATTCACCCGATCCACTGTTGACATTTTCCGGGTGCAGGCGGCTCAGGCATTGAATGCTAGGTTAAGGTTGCTGCAACGTGCTTGGTTGATTGCTACCCCGGATGCCCCGAGTCTGCCCTGCTTTGCTTATAGGGACCCGAATTTAGGGGTGTTGGTTGCTTTGGCCTTCGTACATTCCGCTCCCCCTCATTCTACCCCCTGCTGTGGTTCCTTCTGGTCCCCCCTTTTCCCCTTGCTTTCTTTTCCTCTTGCTTCCAGCTCCAAAGTGTCTTGAGGGATTCGGGGTTGGGTCGGGTTTTAGAGGATTCTTAGACTTGGGCAGTTTCAGGGGTTGCCCCTTCTGGGGTGGCGACGGAGGCATTTGAGTTGGTTCCTCCAGCCGTTGTGTATGGGTATGACCAGTGGGCCCTCTTCCTTAGTGTTTTTACGGCTGCCCCGGGTTTTTCTTTTGAGGCCGGGTCTTTGGAGGACGATTTGGCCCTGGGTCCTGATGTGAAGGTTCCCGCGGTTTGGGGGGAGGGCTGACTTGGGGGCCATGGGCCCCATTGGACCCCTTCTGGGTTTTCCTACCCTCTGAGTTGGGCTTACTGTTATGTGGAGTGGGGGTTTTCACCCCCCCCCCCCCTCTACGTACAAGTTGGTTTGGGTGTCGGCCCCTCCCTGGGTTCGGTTCTGTGTCGCTTTGGGTCCATTGGTTCCGTCCTTCCTGTGGGTAATTTTAAGGTCCACGGTTATTCAACATCCTCCCAGCAAGTATAAGAAATATTGCCAGAACAACCATGTAAATCTACTAGAGAAAACTAAATAATTTTCTCCAAGGAGTTCCGGACCAACTGGGCTGTGGTGAGAATGTGGGCCTGCGGGCCGCTCCAAGCAACAGCCTAGTGGACCAAGCTCTCACAAGTCAAGTCTGGCCTCGGGCTGGGCTTGGGGAGTAGAACTCCCAGAACCCCATCAACCAGGTAACCACTTTCTCAACATTCTTATCTAGGATATGTATTCTTCTTCTACATGTTTTAGGATCCTGCATGACCATTGGTCACGTATGCCAATGGGCCCATATGAGTATCAGTGATTTTGTGCTTGATTATCGAGGATCTTGAAGGTTCGAGAAGAACTTCGATAATTAAAAACTTGTTGGAACGTCTGTTGATTTCTGGTGAGGATTACCTCCAGTTCTCTATAGGACTCGTTGGTACTCTTCCGTACTACTTATCGTCTTTCAATACTATATCTAATTATTTTATGATCACATCTTATCTCGGTAATCAACCCTTCCGGCAACCCTTCCTCCCCCCTCCAGTCGGCATTTTTTTCGCGTGCTTTGACATCCAGCCACGAACTGACAGGTGGATAGCCGGCGTGATGGGGTTGGGGCTTCCCCTTCCCCTCCCGAGCAGGGGTGCAGACAAGCGGCGCGGCAAGTGTGATGTCATGCTCGTTTGCTCGTTTTTCATTTGGGGAGTTCTGTTCACTCGTTAGCTTTCAGTAGTAGTTTTAACCAGAATAGGGGTTTGTTTTGAGGCGCTTACCTTTCTGGGTGCCTGGCCCAGTCGAAGTCAGACATAGAATGCTCCAAACACATGTGCACTTCTGTAGGCCATTGCTCCTCGTGCCTCTCTGAGGGGGTCAGGTACTGGCTCGTGGTCCCCAGTAAGCCTAGAACTCCATTCAAAGTAACTGATGCCCAAGATTAATAATATACATATCAGCTTGGATAGCTCCGGGGGAGCTTCCTGGTCTCGCCCAAAAAATGGTGTTTCATTACATTCAACGCTGTTTTTTTTTTTTTTTTAACAATTCTACTAATGAATAATTTATACAGTATACTGCTTTAACATTGCCTCAACAAATTTACTTCAAATTGCTGAGAAAAACAGTACATGGAGCAAACTTTATTACAGATAACATTTTTGCACACAAATCATGTTTCTTGATAGGGGCATGAAGTGTTCAAGTGTTTGCATACAGAATATACACAGGCATTCCCTAATTAGTGCTGCTCTGTATAACACTGTTTATTATTGGATCATTTTTTCCTACAAAAAAAAAAATATAAGTGTGCAGGGAAGTAGGGTGGTGGGGGTTGGAAGTGACAAATATTTGTGCTAGATGGGTATTGGGTGAATGGCAGTGCCAGTATTTATTGTTGGAAATGAATACAAATCACAAATAAAAACAAAACAAATGAAAACAAAATTATATTGATTTATTTTTTATAGGTTGTGATGGCAGGAAATAAAGTTGAGTCTTGTAGTATACAGGATGTTGAAATTTATGCTACCAAGGTGTTTGTTGTCTCGGCTTCTGCACAACGACTACCATTGCAGGTATGAAAAATCCCAAATGTATCATGTCCATATAAGCTTATTGCCTTAAAGTGTGAGATATTGTATTCTTTAAGGTAAGAGTATTGTATTGGAAATCACTGACAAATTTAAGATTTTTTCCTAAATTGCTGTAAAAATACAATTTGAACAATTGGTGATATTGTTGTGTGCTTGGAAGATGTCTTGTTAGCTCTAGATGATTTGTCTTTAGACAGTGGTTCAGGATTTGTCATAAATTTGCTCTTCTATATATGTTTGTATATCTTAAATACATCATAGTATTTGAGTACATCACATTTACCAGTCTCCGTGGTGTAGTGGTAAGACACTCGCCTGGTGTTCCACCAGTGCTTTGTCATAGGTTCGTATCCTGGCCGGGGAGGATTTACTGGGCGCAAATCCTTAACTGTAGCCTCTATTTAACTCGACAGTAAAATGGGTACTTGGTTGTAAAAACGATTCTTCGTGGCAGGGATCGTATTCCAGGGACCTGCCCGAAACGCTACGCGTACTAGAAGCTGTACAAGAATGTAACAACTCTTGTATATATCTCAAAAAAAAAAGAGAGAGAAAAAAAAAATAAGTGCCCTATTCTTTGGAGCTTGTGTTATTACCTATAGGAATGAACCAGCAAACTTTGCAACTGATTACCAAAAGCTTAACCCTTCAACTGCAATCAAAGATGTGATCACCATTAATCCATAACCCCTGGGCGGTGCAGCTATTAACACTTTAACGCCGACAACACCGCTGTGTGTATGAAAAAAAAATTAAAAATATTTATTTTCCTTCAAAAATTGTTAAAATGTGTTCCCAAATCACAGCAAAAATAACAACAAAGTCGTAGGTGACATATTTTGTCCGTAATACCTCGCCCCTTACCAACATACCTCCTCCCACCATACTATGCACATTGCTAATTCTCACCACACTGCTGCTCTTATCAGAATCCTGATCACTAAATTTTGTAAATGAATAATTTTCCACAAGTTTATTTTGTAAAGGAACAAGAGAAGTTGTTTCAAGACCACTGGATTTGTGATCCTGTGGTCCTGGGTTCAATCTCGGGCGCAGGTGAGAAACAATGGGCAGAGTTTCTTTCACCATATGCCCCTGTTACCTAGCAGTAAAATAGGTACCTGGATGTTAGTCAGCTGTCACGGGCTGCTTCCTGGGGGTGGAGGTCCTGGTTGAGGACCAGGCCGCAGGGACACCAAAGCCCCAAAATCATCTCAAGATAACCTTAAAATAACCGCGTGTTGCCACATATATTTTTCAATAATTTGTTCTGTGTATTTTTAATGCGGTTTTATTTGTTTTTTTTTATCGCGTGTGATGCATATTTGTGACCTTTACAATATGTATACAGTAGAACGTTCATAATGTTCCATGGAACTGTGATACATGTCAGTAATGTGTCCACAATAAATGTTTGTCACAATATTACGTGGTAAAAATTCACTAAAATTACAATATGTACAGTTTCACATACTATTTACACAGTAACACACTGTATTACACTCTCAGTACTTTGGAGGCGAGTAATAATCAACGAAGTAGTCCATGGTACACAGTGCGACTTTGCTCTCATTGCACCAGGTAGATAGATTTTTGCATTCTATTTCTTCGTTCTGTGTGCTTGCAAATAACACACTCACATACACCCTTGGCTTTAGTACTTGTAGGTGGTATGTAGCCAAGCTTGTAAAGCATAATATAATATTGAAAATATTATAGGAAAAGATCAATCTGTAAGGTAGTCTTGAAAAGATAGCTTTGTAAGGTCCCACACAGGAAGAGATTCAGCCAGCCTCGAAGAGTGTCCGTCAATCTAAAAGAGATCCTGGCATTCTGGAAGAGATGCAGCCAGCCTCAAAGAGTGTCCGTGAGTCAAGAAGAGATTCAGCTAATCTTGAAAATAATCATGGAAAACACCACCATGGAAGCCGCTAACACTGTTCATCTATGCTACTTGTATTAGATGCATCATCACTGAACGCAGAAAATGATTCATCTATGTATCAACTATATAAATTGGAGATGAAGCAACAGTGGTGCTCAGAGCTGCAACTGGATACTCTCGCTGTATCATCCTTACATGTGCTGTATCACTTGCATCCGACCTTTGTGTTAGGTCCTTATTGCGCCTAGCTTCACCAATATCATGACCCTTATGTTCTTCAAACAATAAAGTCTGAATTTCACCAACAGAGTGCAATCTTTCAACACTGTCGGACAGGTGTTTGAGAGCCAGAGGCGCATGGCCACCCATGGTTGCTCACTCAGTACTAACCCAGCCACAAAAAGGTTCGTTCAGTGTTTGGCAGGTAGGAGGCTCCATTACGACAATCTTTCTTTGTTTCAAATGTGTTCCATTTGTTTTGAATTTTTCATTTACGTCTCGACAATGGAGCAGCCTACCCGACAGTGAACGAAGCTTTACGGCATTTGTCAGTTTTCCAAATTGTTTCAACCATTTTTTTTATTTTTCGTTTTTTTTATTTAAGAAACGTGGAGCAGCCAACCTGCCGACCACCGAACGAACCTTTTTGACATTTGTTGTATTTTGAAAAATTTAATTTCTTTGTTCTACAAAAAAGTCAATGCTTTGCAACATCTCAGCAGTCACCCCTTTATATCTCAGCATCATTAGCATCTTTAAACAAAAAAAAACATAATTTATTTGCATCGTCAGAGGCGTCCGAGAAGCAGCGCGACACCCCCAATGTGGTGTTGACGTTACTCAATCGAGCGTTCGCCATACAAGACGAATTGTTGCCGATCGGGCTGGTCGTTAACCAAAATGTTCGCTATATGAGGCGATCATTATTCGAGGTACCACTGTATATCACAATACACACTATTGAATAATATTACTGCAAAAAAAAAAAACTAAGAAAAAATCAGAGACATTGCAATAATTAGGTAATATCTTTGTTGCAACTCCTGCCTGACAGCTTGGGCAGAGCTAACCGGCTCCAACGATTAGTCTGTCAACACCTCAGTTTTGCCAGACTTCCTCACCCTTTTGCGGTCAAAAAATGTCGCCCTATGATTTTTTTTCCCCCTGTGGTCGGGAAACACAAATGAACACTTTTATCAGACGAAAAAAATTTGAATTTTTTTATTTCTTGCACACAGCGGTGTTGATGGCTATTAAGGCTGTGGCAGCTTAATCCTTAGACCGCGCAATACATATATATAGATGATTTGAGTAACATTACCGATACCGCGCAATACATTAATAGCTGTTTTAGTGTCTAGAGCTTTAATTTAACCCTTAAACTGCGCATGGCGTATATATACGCCCTGAGTAACATGTCCCATGGTGCGCATGGCGTATATATACGCCATAGGGTGCCAGGCCTGATTCAAATGGCCCGCGGCTACACGGGGTTCACAGTAGCTTCCTCAGGGCTCTTGTAAACAGATGCCATTTTAAAAAAAAATCGTGGGCAATATTCTCAGGTGTGAGAGGCACAGTACTGTTGGAGCAACCAAGGCCGGCGCACGCAGCATGAGCGAACAGCATTGCTGTTCAGCTTGTGACCACAGCATCGCCGAAAAATGTCAAAATAAATATATAATTGTTATTATTTAGCGATGACAATATTACAGATGACCCATGACTGTGATATAAATAACCAGGGTTGTGATAATAGCGGGATTGTTGTAATAATTAGCGCTGTGGGAGGAGTGATGCTGAGAGATGGAGGGAGACAGCATTGTTAACTGACTGTGTGGCTAGCTGTTATTGTTTGCATTCACCATACCAGGTCAGTGGTTCTCTATGGTGAACACAAATGTAGATACTTATATATAATGTGTGTATTAGTGTAATAACAGCAAAAGGATTATGCTGGGAGGAGCCATATGGGTGACGGAGGTGACGTCATCTGCACGATTTGTCTAGCTGTTTAGAGGGTGGCCACTATGCTCTTTGGGTGCACTACAAGCTTAGGTGTACAGTTACGGTGCATAAAACATGTAGATATTTATATATAATATGTGTATATAGGGTAATAACACTGCAATCAGTATTGTTGGGGTAGAAAGTTTAGTGTGTGTGACCTTGAAAGAGTGAGGGAGCCGCCATCTGTGTATAGCGACGACTCTTAGTGCTTGAACTAACTATATCAGCTTAGCTGTACAGTTGTGGTGAACAAAATATATACATACTTATATATAACGTCTGTATATAGTGTAATAACACCACAAATGGTATTATTGGGGGAGACAGTTTAGTGCGTGTGTTGAGGGAGTGGCAGCGAGTGGCTGGCTGGTGTGTGGCAGTAACTCTTCGTTGCTTTTCGACTCACAATACCAACTTAGTGGTTCGTTATGCTGACCAAAACATGCAGATACTTATATATAACCTGTGTATAGAGTGTAATAGCAGCAAAACTATATGTTTATTGTTTTATAAACATAATAATTGAATCACTAATATGCACATCATACTTTTGAGTATAGCGATTATTCACCACTTTTATTATATAAATATATTACAATACACACTATTGAATAATATTACTGATAAAAAACTAAGAAAAAATCAATCGGAGACATTGAAACAATTAGGTAATAATATCTTTGTGGCAACTCCCATCTGTCAGTGCGGGTGACGCTGACCGGGTCTGACAACCGCTCTCTCAACGCCCACTTTTTGCCAGACTTCCTCGGTCAATTGCGCCCAAAATATGTCACCTACGATTTTTTTTTTTTTTTTCCGTGCTCAGGGGACACAAATTCGAATTTTTTTTTTTTTCTTGTGCACAGGGGTGTAAATGTCCCCAGGACCCCTGAGCAGTGTAAGGATTAAACGCCCAGCGTGGGATAGGGGCAGCTATAGTGTAGGCACAATCCGATAGTTGGCAGACGCCACCTAGAAAAAAAATCATGGCCAACATTCCTGGGTGTGAGAGTCTCGGTACCGAGCGAGCTACCAAGGCTGACGCAAGCACCATGAGCTAACAGCACCGCTGTTCAGCTTGTGACCACAGCATTGCCTAAAAATGTCAAAATATATATGTACATGCTATTATTTAGCGATGATAGTATTACAGAAGACCCTTGACTGTGATAAAACTGACCAGGATTCTGATAATAGCAGAATTGTGGTGATATTTAGCGCTGTGCTCCATGGTGGGAGGAGTAATGCTAAAGTAGGGAGGGTGGTGGCGTAGTCTTCTGACTGTGTATGGCCACCTTTTATTGACTGGACTTACCATACCAGCTTAGTGGTTCGCTATGGTGAACACAAATGTAGATACTTATGTATGTGTATATAGAGTGTAATAACAGCAATAGGAGTATGTTGGGAGCCACCATGTTGGTGAGGGAGGTGCATCATCTGCATGACATGTTTTGTTAACTGGTTGCCACTATGGTCTTTGGGCATCATACCAGCTTATTTGTACAGGTATGGTGAATAAAACATGTAGATACTTATATATAATGTGTGTGTATATAGTGTAATAACACCACAAACAGTATTGTTGGAGGAGAAATATTAGTGCGTCTGGCCTTGAGGGCGGCCGTCACCAGCTGACTGTGTGAATAGCTACGTCTTACTGCCTTTACTCACCATACAAGCTTAGATGTACAGTTATGGTGAACAAAACATGTAGATACTTATATTTAACATCTGTGTATAGTGAATAAAAGCAAAAACAGTATGGTGGGAGGATTATGTTGGCGAGTGAGGTGAGTGAGGGAGTGATGGCGAGTGGCTGGCTGGCTGGTGTGTGGTGGCCACTCTTCGTTGCTTTTTGACACACAATACCAACTTAGTGGTTCGTTATGGTGAGCAAAACATACAGATACTTATATATAACCTGTGTACATAGTGTAATAACAGCAAAACTATTTGTTTATTGTTTTATGAACATAATAATTGAATCACTAATATGCACACCATATTTTTGAGTACAGCGATGGTTCACACATTTTATTATATAAATATATCACAATACACACTATTGAATAATATTACTGCAAAAAAACAAAGAAGAAATCAGAGACATTGAAATAATTAGGCAATATCATCTTTGTGGCAACCCCAGCCGGACAGCTGAAGATGTGCGTGCGTCTTGCTTCCCGATTGTCCCTAGCTGTCACCTGCCCATCGATGGAATCTTGGTGGAAACAGATACAGTACCTTTGATAGTTGACGTGGTTCGTTATGGTGAGCAAAACATGATACTTATATATAACCTGTGTACATAGTGTATTTGTTTATTGTTTTATGAACATAATAATTGAATCACTAATATGCAGAGACATTGAAATAATTAGGCAATATCATCTTTGTGGCAACCCCAGCCGGACAGCTGAAGATGTGCGTGCGTCTTGCTTCCCGATTGTCCCTAGCTGTCACCTGCCCATCGATGGAATCTTGGTGGAAACAGATACAGTACCTTTGATATTGCTCGCCATATACGCATTTGTTCTCGTATTAGCATCTTTAGTGATTTTAGTACCTTTTGTATATCCTTCAACTTTGATGGTGCTACATAGTCACCCCGACTTGGTGCCTTCTTTTGATAATTATTTACTTCTTGTATAGCAGTAGTTTTCCCTCTTATAGTTATCCACCTAACACTTACTAAACTTCAGTCATTGTCTCTGTTCAGCAACTTATAAGAGCATCAATTACCCAATGTCCACTTTTATACAATGTCTACTTTATACTTCAAATGTCACTATTGTTCATCCTTTCTATATATTTTCATCTATTTCAGTACTTTATTTACATTTAGAAAGGCAAAGAGTAAGTGGGGACACGAGTAAAGATTTCTTAGTCCGTCTTCATATGGATGGTTTCTAATTCCTGGGATTAGCTTTGTTCCCTTTCTCTGCACATGCTTAAGTGAATTTGTCTTTTATAGTACAGTGCTCACTGTACTGCATAATCTGAATGTTGTGCAAGTACACAAAAGATTTTGTTTAAGTAATTTATATTTACAGATAGAAGATGCTATGCGACCAGAAGGAGATGATCCAGATGGCATACAAATCAAGGTAAATCAGGACACTAGATTAGACAATCGTGTTTTGGATCTGCGGACACCTACCAATCAAGCAATCTTTAGGCTGGAAGCAGGAGTTTGCCATCTGTTCAGGGAAGCACTCAAGATGCGTGGTTTTACTGAAATCATGTGTCCCAAGCTCATCTCTTCTGCATCAGAAGGTGGAGCAAATGTGTTTGGCATGAAATATTTTGATAAAGAAGCTTTTCTGGCTCAGAGTCCTCAGTTGTACAAGCAAATGGCTATTGCTGCTGATTTTGGCAAAGTTTTCACCATTGGTCCAGTTTTCAGAGCTGAGAACTCAAATACTCATAGGCATCTAACTGAATTTGTTGGACTAGATTTGGAGATGGCATTTACCCACCATTACCATGAAGTTATGACTGTTATTGGTAGTATGTTCACAGAGATTTTTAGAGGACTTCGAGACAATTATGCCGATGAGATTGCTACAGTGAACAATCAGTTCCCAGCTGAGCCTTTTAAGTTTTTAGATCCACCATTATGTCTAGAGTACAAGGAAGGAGTGGCTATGTTGAAAGAGGCAGGAATAGAGATGGATGAAACTGAAGACTTAAGTACACCAAATGAGAAATTGTTAGGGCGATTGGTTAAGGCCAAGTATGATACAGATTTTTATATCTTAGACAAGTTTCCTCTGAGTGTAAGGCCATTTTATACCATGCCCGATCCCAGCAATCCAAAATGGAGTAACTCTTATGACATGTTCATGCGTGGGGAAGAGATCTTATCAGGTGCTCAGCGAATTCATGATGCCGATTTCTTGGTGGAGAGAGCCAAAATTCATGAAATTCCAATTGACACTATTCAGTCCTATGTAGATTCTTTCAAATATGGTTGCCCACCTCATGCTGGTGGAGGGATTGGTTTGGAGAGAGTGACTATGCTGTACCTGGGCCTGGACAACATACGCAAAACATCCATGTTTCCCCGAGATCCGAAGAGAATCACACCCTAGTGACTGCAGTTTCCAGTAGTGTTTGGACAATTTTTAAATGTTCACGACTGTTAACTCAAGAAATAAAATTAAAAAAAAAAAAAGTCTTGCTATTTTATTTTCCTCATTACGATTATGAAAGTTTTAGCGGGATTTTTTGTGGTTATGGCCAAATGCGTGTGTTCGAAATCTCGTTGCTATTATGGTGGAGTCTATAGTGGACAGGCTGTTAAGGGTTGCCCGTCCCCCTTGGCCTTCCTCCTACCACTGTAACTGGCAGTGGGAAACGGCTCTGGCGAGGTCACGTATTGGCCATACACGTTTAACTCTCGGGCCCTTAATGGAGCACCACCCTGCTCCTTATTGTCCCTCTTACGGTCGGGCATATCCTTGATGAATGTCCTGACTTCCAGGACGTGCATGTGTCTTGTTTCCCGACTGTCCCTCAATAGAATCTTGGTGAATCGGATAGATTTGATATCGCTCACCTTGTGTGCTTTTGTTCCAATATTAGCATCCTTAGTGATATTTAGCGCATTTTGAATATCCCGCACATTTGATGGTGCTGCTACATAGTCTCCCCGACTTGGCGGCGCCTTTTGAGTATGATAGATTCTTACTACACATCTTTGGTGCCCTGTAAATACATGTAATTCAGTGTTGCTTTAAAGTATGTTGCATGTGAAGCTGCTGAAATTTTAGTATGGAAAGAATTGATGTGATTATAATAAAAAAGTGAAGGTAAATGCTTGTTTTATCAAAAAGTAGAATGCTTACACTTATGTAAAATGGTTCACAGCTTCCTGTAATGTTCATCCAGCCACATGTCCTTTAGAACAGGAGTTTTAGCTCTTAAAACTCAAAAAGCTGTGTGGAATAAGGGTACTTCGTGGCCTAAATCCTCGGCTCACGACCAAGGGAATCTGGTTCAACCTCTGGCCATGTCTAAAGGACCTGACAGCTGAGTGGACAGCGCTTGGGATTCGTAATCCTGAGGTTCCAGGTTCAAATTCCAGTGGAGGCGGAAACAAATGGGCAGAGTTTCTTGCATCCAGATGCACCTGTTCACCTAGCAGTAAATAAGTACCTGGGAGTTAGACATCTGCTATGGGCTGCTTCCTGGGGGTGTGTAACAAAAAGGAGACCTGGTCGAGGACCGGGCCGCAGGGACGTTAAAACCCGAAATCATCTCAAGATGATACGTTTCCTTTCACCTGATGTGTGTGTGTCTTGTTTGTGACTTTTAATCACCATGATTAATAATTATCAAAAGCCTGGAAAGGCTATTTATCACTGATTGTGGCACAGGAGACAGTCAAAAAGTATCTATAAAAGTATATGTATTATAAAAGTATTTGCAAATAAAATAGAGTACATATTCCTTGGCAAGTATGCTTATTGCTTGTATTTATGACCCCCCCCTCCTCCCTTTCCAGTCTGTTGTCGTCGTGAGGGGGCTTGGTAAACGGCTGCCGGGGTGTGATGCTCCATGGGATGGTCCTCTGTCCTTTTGCAGCCTTATGCTCCTGCTGCCATCTTCACTAATTATTCTGGTCACTTTTTCTTTGTTTCGTTTTCCTCCCACCTCTTCTCCTTTCTCATTGTCTTTCCCACCGACCTTTTGCCAGTCTTGATTATTCTTTCGGACATCTTCTGTTTTGATGCCCCGGTGTCCGGGGAGACTCACTCTGTCACCCATAGAACTGTGGTACCCGACGTTGCGAGCGAGGGGACGCTTTTATTGTCAATCCTCTTTCGTTGCTGAACTCGATCTCAACGGACTGATGGTTCTTAACCCTTAGACTGCTAACTGTTAATAGCTGACATACACCCATATGCTCAAGAAAAAAAATTGTTATTTTTTTTTCTTCTTATAACATTGTTAATTAGCCTTCAGGAAGCACAAAAATCCAATTAAAAAGTCTCTAGCTCTTGTGGTTCAGCTGTTGTGGCCTGGAGAAGTTGTATATTTTTAGGGAAAATGAGTTGAGGTGCTGTATGGGAATAACTTTTTTTTATTTATTTTTATTGTTTCTCACTTTATTTAGTTGTCTATGCTAACAGGTTGTATTTGTGTGTCAAAGGTACTGTTTATTATGTATAACTGAAAATATAAGTATGTATGGATATACAAGTATAGATATACATACATGCTTATTCATAATATTTGTATACATAAATTATATTCCTAAATCTTAAAAATGCATATAGCACACATTTTGCCTCATATATGCATGGTAATCACACATTTGCTGTTGCTAAAAGCTTAGTGTCTCCTCTATGGTTGCCCTAAACGTTCAGACACTGGATGGTGATATTGCCAAGCAATAGTCCTCATTTTCTTACTAAGACCCTAGAATGAAAGTGAGGGACTCAGGATTTTTTTTTCAAGATGGGGAGGGTTACTAGAGCCTTGAGGAAGCTTTTTTTTTTTTTTTTTTTTTTTGCAGGGATATTCCCAAGCCTCTGGCTGGCGATGTGAACACCCCATGTAGCCACGGGACTTTTAAATCTTGCATGGTACTCCAACACATCAATAGATGTGGTTCTGCTGCAGTAACTCACCACATCAACTGATGTGTTGAGCAGTTAAGGGATTAAGGTGGTGATTGCAGGGCATATATTCACGATGCACCCCTGTGGGGCCCCAGCCTGTCTCTTGTTGGGTGTCCTATCCTCTAATTGTGGCTCCATGGTGGGTATGGGGGCTCATTCATAAATGAAATATTATCTCCTCGTTTCTATGTCGCTGAATGATACTCTTCCCACCCAATGAGCCTTTCCAGGCTCATAGGGTGGGCGACCAAGTCCCCGAGTTGGACTGTGTTGGAAGCTGGGCTCTGTAGCCCCAGCTACAGTGTGCCCAAACCAAACTACTCTTTTGACCCTCCCGACTACCTCTCTCCGCTCCCCCACCCTCCTCTGGTAGGGTTGAGCCCCAAGCCCCCCCTCCCCCCAGTGGTGACCACGTCATCACCTGGAGCGGCTACTTCTCTCGTTGTGACAACTGCACCTTTCACAGCCCTCCAACCCCCCCCCCCTCTCGCTGGGGGTGCTCGGCGCTGACTCCACCATTGACACCCTTGCACGATCCCTTCCAGTGCTCGTACATTCAACACCTTGTTTAGTCCTGCTACATGGACTAAATACTTTGATCTCAACCATCTGGACTCTACACGTCCTGACAATTTCTTCCTTCATAAACACCTCGTTACATTTAACCCCACCCATTTTGGTACACGTGTCCTTGCTGCTGCTTCTAAGGATGCAGCTGCATGCTTATCTGCATTGTCCAGCATTGAGTAGATCCCTGTTCGGGTCTCCGGTTAAATGCCATTTTTAGCACTGTTATCCTCCTGCGCCATGTTGTGACTGGTGTTAGGGACCTGTAAGACTGCCACAAGGATATTAAACATATCCTTGGCCAAGGATATGTTTCCAAGCCCAAGGCCATTCTATCCTCCAGGTTGATACGTTCACTCGACCTCCTTGTGGTCGTCATCATCAGCCTCTTTGCGTTGGGAAGATCACTTTTGATAGTAGGACCCTTCCACCTTCCATAATTCTTGTTGGTGCCCGATGCTCCATTCAGGAGTACAATCCCATTCACAGACTTTTCAATAAGTGCTGGAAATTTGGGTATGGTGCCCTCAAATGTACAAGTGTAGTGTGTCTATGCCCCACGTGTGGGGACTCGGGTCACTAAGTCGGAATCCTAGGCCCTCCCCAGGCCCACTGCCTCAATTGTGGTGATGCCCACCCTACCTTCTCCCACTTGTGTGTACACTACAAATTTGAGGGAGCCATCCTTAATTTGAAGCGCCGCGATAGTTTCTTTTCCTGAGGCAAGACGCCAAGTCCGCTGTCTCTACCCTTTCGCTAACACATCTTATTCTCGTGTGTTGCATTCTATCTCTCCTCCTCTGTCTCAACTATTTCCAAGCCTTGGACCCGGACTTGCCCACCAACTCCTCCTCTGCTACTTTACGTTCTGAAGCAAGGGGTTTTCCTCGTCGTTCTCTGACTGGTGTTTTCCTCCTTTCTTCCCAGTCTGCTTGATGGGGTTCTGGAAGTTCTACTCCCCAAGCTCGGCCAGGCTTGACTAGTGAGAATTTGATCCACTAGGCTGTTGCTTGGGGTGGCCCACAGGCCCACATATCCACCACAGCCCGGTTGGTCCGACACTCCTTGAAAAAAATGATCTAGTGTTCTCTTAAAGATGTCCACGGTTGTTCCAGCAATATTTCTGCTCACTGGGAGGATGTTGAACAACCGTGGACGCCCTAAAGCACCTAAATTACTGGGATTGTCTCAAAGCTCTCTAAATGTACTCACTAGAAAAAAGACGAGAGATATCAAATAAAATACACGTGGAAAATACTGAAGGGCCAGGTACCAAATCTACACAGTAAAATAACAACATATTGGAGTGAACGATATGGAAGAAAATGCAGAATAGAACCAGTGAAGAGCAGGGGTGCCATAGGCACAATCAGAGAACACTATAAACAGAGAACACTATAAATGTTTATAGTGTTCTCTGATTGTGCCTATGGCACCCCTGCTCTTCACTGGTTCTATTCTGCATTTTCTTCTCCGTTGCCTTCCCCTGCTCTGGACCCTGTCCTGAGCCTCTGGTCCGTCCTACTGCTCCCTATAACTCCATCATCCTTGCTCAATTTAGCCATGCCCCCCCCCCCCTAACCCTAATTTTACTGATCCTGGTTCTGATCCTGATCCTCCTTAGTATGCTGTGTTCTTTGTTTTTTCATTGTTCTCTGTTGCTGTTCTCTTTCCTTTTGACTGTCTATTTTTCAATTGAACATTCGTGGATTTCATGCCAACTTCCATAAACTCCAACTTCTGATAACACAGTTTTCACCGCTTTTCGTCTGTCTCCAGGAGACGATGCTTGGTGCTCGTCCTAGTCACTTTCGTGGTAATTCCTTTCTTCCCTTCCCCCCCAGCTTTTGCTGGGGCCCATAACTCTACTGCTTTCTTGATTCATACTGATATTCTCCTTGTCCCCCTACTTTTTTAGTCGCTTCTCCAATGTTCTGCAGCTCGTATCTTTGCGAGTAAATGGTATACGGTCTGTTCC